AGCATAAAAAGCTGCAAGCCAAAAAAGTAAGGTTTATTAGAACAAAGGAAGCTTATTGTAACTCTGTAAGTAGGGAATGCTCCAAGCATCTCAGGAAAAAGTGGAAATGAACAGCTGTTGGAATCCCAGTTTGCTAGTGCTTTTCCCTGCTTCATTCTTTAATCCTGTTTGCATGTTGGAAAATAGCCTCCTTCAAGCTTCTAAATCGACATAGTCCAGCCCATGTAAGAGGCTGACTATTAGACCTTAGTTGCAATGGCTTAGGTCCAGAGAAAATAATCTCATTGTCTCATCTCTGGTCTAGTAAGCTCTGGTGAGGGAAGCAAATATGAGGCTAGAATGGCATGTATGACAAATATGAGGCTAGGATGACTGTATTAGTCTGTTCTTATGCTGCTAATAAAGAAATACTTGAGACTGGGTAATTTATAGAGGAAAGAGGTTTAATGGACTCACAGTTCAGCATAGCTGAGGAGGCCTCACAATCATGGCAGAAGACAAAGAAAGAGCAAAGGGACTTCTTACATTGTGGCAGGCAAGAGAGAGGTCATGCAGGGGAATTGCCATTTATAAAACCATCAGATCTTATGAGACTTCTTTACTACCAGGAGCAAAGCATGGGAAAGATCTGTCCCCATGATTCAATTACCCCCCACCAGGTCCCTCCCATTACACATGGGAATTATGGGAGCTACAATTTAAAACGAGATTTGGGTGGGGACACAGCCAAACTATATTAGTGACACTTCTGTGATCCTGTGGATTTGGGGGATGAGGGCAATAGTCTCCAGAAGGAAACCCTCTCTCCTGCACATGGCTGCATATTCTCCAGGGAACAATCATTGCAGTCTGAGAAGCATGCAACTGGGATATCAGCAAAAGCTAGGATTGCCTTTGTAGGCCAGATGCCTAGCACTAGGGTAGGCACAAGATATTGCTAGTGGTGAGGAGAACAATGAAGACAACTTGTTTTTTGGGGTGGCCCACTTGTCATTAAAAGTATCACAGAACAGGATTTGTGTATGGACCACAATTCCCATATTTACAAATGAATGATGCTCTAAGAGTTGGGTTAATGTTCCTGTGTTTCTTCAGTCAGTGCTTAGGCTCTGTTGTGCCAGTGATTTAGTTGGTTAAAAGAAAACAGTGACAATCCAACCCCAAACTTTTTCAAAGTGCTAACAGTTCTGTGTTGACCCTGCATGCATATTATTAAAAAATTAGCTCTATTTTTGAGCAATATCTCATACAATGCACACTTACATTTCTTTCTATATTCATTCTCACTTCTAAAGATATGTATCTGGGTTATTTTTTAACCCTCGTAAGCCATTTCAAATCTTCTCTGAAATAAGCAAGATACATATAAATGTGTAAAATGAGGTCATGTTTATATTTTCATACTATCTCATAGAAACCTGAAGGATATGACTGTTAATAATACAATGATATGATTCATAATGACGTTTCAGTCAATGAAGGATCACATATACAGTGGCGGTCCCATGAGATTACAATGGAGCTGAAAACATTCTATTGCCTAGTGACCTCCTAGCCATAGTATGTGGTAGCACAACGCATTACTCACATGTTTGAAGTGATGATGAGGTAAACAAACCTATCGTGCTGCCAGTTGTATACAATTCTAGCATATAAGTAATTACTATATTATGCTTTTTTTTCTTCAAATTTTATTTTAAGTCAGAAGTACATGTGCAAGATGTGCAAATTTGTTACCCAGGTGAATGTGTGCCATAGTGTTTTGCTGCGCACATCATACCATCACCTAGGTATTAAGTCCAGCATCCATTAGCTACTCTTCCTGATGCTCTCCCTCCCCCTAAGCTCCACCGACAGGTCCCAGTGTGTTGTTCCCCCATATGTCCACGTGTTCTTATCATTTAGCTCCCACTTATAAGAAAGAACATACGGTATTTGCTTTTCTGTTTCTGCCTGAGTTTGCTGATAATAGTGGCTTCCAACTCCATCCATGTCCCTGCAAAGGACATGATCTTGTTCCTTTTTATGGCTGCATAGCATTCCATGGTGTATATGTACCACATTTTCTTTATCCACATTTTCAGTCTATCATTGGTAGACATTTAGGTTGATTCCATGTCTTTGCTATTGTGAATAGTGCTGCAATGAACATAGGCATGAATGTTTATTTAGAATAGAATGATTTATATTCCTTGGAATATATATACGCAATAATGGGATTGCTGAGTCAACGGTATTTCTGGTTCTAGGTCTTTGAGGAATTGCCACACTGTCTTCTACAATGGTTGAACTAATTTATACTCCCATCAACAGTGTAAAAGTGTTCCTTTTTCTTCACAATCTCACCAGCATCTGTTGTTTTTTGACCTTTTAATAATAGCCATTCTCACTGGGATGAGATGGTATCTCTTTGTGATTTTGATGTACATTTCGCTAATGATCAGTGATGTTGAGCTTTCTTTCATGTTTGTTAGCCACATGTATGTAAATACTGTAATTTTATCGTTATTTTAGAGTGTGCTCCCACTTATATAAAAGGTAACTGTGAAACTGCCTCAGGGAGATCCTTCAGGAGGTATCCAGAAGAAAACATTATTATCATAGGAGATGACAGCTCCATGCATGTTACTGGCCCTGAAGGCCTTCCAATGGGAAAAGATGTGGAAGTGAGAGAGGGTGACGCTGATGATCCTAACCCTGTGTAGGCCTAGCTTATTTGTGCTTGTGTCTTAGTTTTTAACACAAATGTTTTTTAAGAATAAAATAAATTCTAAAATAGAAAAAAAGCTTATCGAATAAGGACATAAAGCAACCAAATCTTTTGTATAGTTGGGCAATGTGCGTTTTAAGCTGTGTTACTATGGAAGAGTCAAAAAGATTAAAAAAATCGAAATGTATATAAAGTTAAAAAGTTACAGGAAGCTAAAATTAATGTATTACTGAAGAAAGGAAAATATTTTTAAATCTAGTGCAGCCTAAGTGTACAATTTTTATAAAATCTGCAGTAGTGTATAGTGATGTCCTGGGCCTTCACATTCTCTTGCCACTCACTCACCTATCCGGAGCAACTTCCAGTCCTGCAAACTCCTTTGCAAGTACCTTATACATGCGTACCATTTTTTATCTTTTATCCCATATTTTTACAGCACCTTTTCGCTGTTTAGATAAACAATAGCTTACATTGCCTTACAGTTGCCTCCAGTATTTAACGCAGTCACATGTGGTACAGGTTTTTTTACCTCAGGAGCAATAGGTTATACCATGTAGCCCTGGTTATAGTAGGCTGTACCCTCCTGGTTTATGTAAGGGCACTCTATGATGTTCGTGCAGTGATGAAACGGCCTAATGATGCATTTCTCAGAACACAACCCTATCGTGAAGTGACGCACAACTGTGTTTTGACTATAAAGACAGTAACCACTTATGACATTTTTTTTCTGAAAGAAATACTTTTTAAGCTCAGACTTGAGATGAAGAGCACACGTCCTTCCTGAGGGCTCCTCTAGTGCATTGGGTCTCACAAACCACAGATAATTTGTTGGCTATTTTTATTCACTGATGAAAAGCCACCTTTCTAGGCTCTTCAGCCCTCAAATGTTGCAGATGTCACTTTCTGAGGTCAGAGCTGCAAGACCCACTTTGCTTAAGCAGCTGTGGCCTGAGTTTTGGATTGACAGTGAAATGCATAGAAACATAGCAGGCTTCCCCCAACACCAAGATGTCTCAGCTTTAAGGAAGAGATTGGACTGATGCCCACACTGCATGGTTGGTGATCCCTGGGCTCAGCCTTGGAACATCTCCCTGTCACTCCCCAGGAAGGGTGAGCAGATGGTCATGAGAGGAGGCCAAGAGCATGGAGACAAACTCAGCTGAGGGAGCCATTTGCTCTGAGGTCGCCTCAGTTTTTGTCCTGGCTCATCTCCACCCCGCACAGGGTATATGGGCTGCACCCTTACTGGATCAGCTATGTGCATCAAAGCCCCTTACTCATAACTGCTCGGCAGTGAAGGCAGTGAAGCACAGGCACAAGGCATGCAGTCCTCAGTGCGTTCTTGTCCTGTATTCAGTATACCCCCATAATTCCTTGACTGAGTGCTGCAAGAAAAACTGCACCAAACGAAAGTGCCCCTATGTCCCTGTGGCTAAACAATGAGAACACATGGACACAGGGAGGGGAACATCACACACCGGGGACTGTTGGGAGGTGGGGGGCTAGGGGAGGGATAGCATTAGGAGAAATATCTAATGTAGATGACGGAGTGATGCATGCAGCCCCCCACATGGCACGTGTATAGCTATTTAACAAACCTGCATGTTCTGAACATGTACGCCAGAACTTAAAGTACAATAAAATAAATAAATAAAAATTCAAAAGAAAAAAAAAAGTCACAAACCAGCTGTTCAGCCAGGGCCACGTCTTCCCCATGTTTGCATCCTAAGCACAGGGTTTGGCACATACTAGGTCCTCAGTCAAAATCTGTCCAGTGAATATACACTTTTGACCTCTTTTTTTTTTTTTTTTTTTTTTTTTTTGGTGGGGGACAGGGTATCATCCAGGCCACATGTAGTGCAGTGGCATAATCATGGCTCACTGCAGCTTTGACCTCCCAGGCTCAAGTGATTCTTTTACCTCAGCCTCCTAAGTAGCTGGGACTACAGTTGTACACCACCATGCCCGGCTAATTTTTTAAATTTTTTTCTAGAGACTGGACTCTCACTATGTTGCCCAGGCTGGTCTCAAACTTCTGGGCTCAAATCATACTCCCTCCTCAGCCTCCCAAAGTGCTGGGATTACAGGCATGAGCCATCATGCTCAGCCTGGCCTCTGAATTTTAATTATTTCATATTCAGTTTGTCTCATGTGTTCATAAATGTTAAGTGATTGCCTAGCAAGTAATTTCTTTCTACTTTAAAAGTAATATCTATCAGGGTCTTTGTGCTGTTAAAAGGCACGATGATTGCAACATGAAGTCCTAAACTATTTTCTTTCTGTGTTTCAGATTATTTGAATATATTTTGCTGTATAAGGATGGAGTGATGTTTCAGATTGAGCAAGCCACTAAGCAGTGCTCGAAGATGACTCTGACAGAGCCCTGGGATCCTCTTGACATTCCTCAGAATTCCACCTTTGAAGACCAGTACTCCATCGGGGGACCCCAAGAGCAGATCACAGTCCAGGAGTGGTCAGACAGAAAGTCAGCTAGATCCTGTAAGGGCTCTAAGGAACTAAGCATTGTATTCAGAATGCAATGATGGGTACAAAGGTTTAAGTCCTTTAAGGAAGGTAGTTTTTAGGGAAATATCAGCTCTATCAAAAATTTTTTAAAGCCCCCAGTTAGGTCTGCATGTTACTTTGTTCATTATGTGGCAATGGGATCTAAGCATCATATTTGAAACACCTCAGCCTTCTAGTGCCACCTGTACCTCTCCACCACTTTGGTTCCTGTGGACTTAGCCTTGATTTTGACGTCTTATGGTCACCCCGAGGCCTGAGACATGGCAGGCATTTGTCTAAGGCACACATTTGAATCAAGCACCTCCTTTTCTTTCCCCGACTCCCTAAAGTGGCAGAGGTCAAATCTACTCCCATCTTGCTGAGTGGGCAAACCAGCCTGCTTCTGTGTGAAACCATTCTCTGTCCTGCTGCTGATACATGCCTATCCCAAGACAGTTTTAACCACACAGGCAGGCATGCTGTGGAACATGGTACGGTGGTTTCTCAAAAAATTAAAGATAAAACTGCCATATGACCTGGCAACTCCGCTTCTGTGTATATGCTCCAAAGAATTGAATGCAGGGACTCAGATATCTGTACACCCATGTTTACAGCAGCAGCATTCACAATCACTGAAAGGTAGAAACCCAAATGTTCATCAGCAGATAAATGGATAAACAAAATGTGGTATATTCAAACAATGGAATATTATTCAGCCTTAAAAAGGAAGGAAACACCAGTGCGTGCTACATCCTGACTAACCTGGAGGACATTATGTTAAGAGAAGCAATGCAGGCAGAAAACAATAGTTTTGTTTGATTCCACTGTATGATTCCACTTACGTAAGTTATACAGAGTCTTCAAATTCATACAGACAGAAAATCGAATAGTGGTATTCAGGAGTTGGGAGAGGAGGAATGGGAAGTTAGTGTTTAATGGAGTCAGAGTTTCAATTTGGGAAGATGAAAAAAATTCTGGAGATGGATGGTGCTGATGGTTGTTCAACAAACGTGAATGTGCTCAAGGCCACCAAACATGTAGAAATGGTAAAATAGTAAAGTTTATGTTATGTACATTTACCGCAGTAAGAAAAATATGAACTTTTTGCCTATGTCTTTATTAAAAAGTCAACTATTTTCCTCTTATAGATGAAACCTGGATTGGCATCTATACAGTCAAGGATTGCTACCCTGTCCAGGAAACCTTTACCAAAAACTACAGTGTAATATTGTCTACGAGGTTTTTTGACATCCAGCTGGGCATTAAAGACCCCTCAGTGTTTACGCCTCCAAGCACATGCCAGATGGCCCAACTGGAGAAGATGAGTGAAGACTGCTCCTGGTGAGCCTGTGCATAGGGAAGGGGCAGCGTCGGATGTCAGCCGCCTGCGGCCCCAGCTGGAGATGGATATGAGACTAGTCAAGATGAGAATCCTAACTGGAGAGAAATGTAATTTTAGGAAGATGCACACTGATGTGAGGTTTTTGACATGTCCGATTTTGATTTCTTAAGCTATGTTTACAGAAGAAAATTGAATGGTGAGGGTTTGGCTGAATGAGCTGACCAGATGGCTAGGTTATTCCTAATGCCTGTTTGGGGCTGGTTTTCTGTGTGTACAGGTATATACACGTGAAGGGGTCAGTAAGAACAGTTTGCTTTGGCAGAGAGTATTTATTATTGACATTGTTCAGATTTGGTGGTGATAATAAAAAGCAGAGTTATTTCAGTCAATTTTATTATTAATTCTTAAATTCCCTGCAGAGAACGCCCCTTTATTGCTGCACCAGGGTGGGCACTGCTCCCACTGACCCCCACCCCACCCTGCCCCAGCACCCCCTTGGTTGCCAAGAAAATGATACCTTAACTCCCTTCCAGACTTAAGAATTTTATGGCATGACCTAATTGATATAAACATTTGGAAGGAAATGACAGGCTGAAATAGGAAGGAGTTATTCCTCTAAAGAAACATTTTAAGCAAGATGGTTTAGAGCAGGCATCCTCAAACTTTTTACACAGGGGGCCAGTTCACTGTCCCTCAGACCATTGGAGGGCCGCCACATACTGTGCTCCTCTCACTGACCACCAATGAAAGAGGTGCCCCTTCCTGAAGTGCGGCAGGGGGCCGGATAAATGGCCTCAGGGGGCCGCATGCAGCCCGAGGGCCGTAGTTTGGGGACGCCTGGTTTACAGAATCCTAATGTCTACACTGGTAAAATGCGAGCCATGTATGCTTCTTTCTTTTCTATGCAAGAGTATTGATGTATGCGTTGAATCTTCACAGACTTGTCTGTACACAGCCAGTATTCTAAAACAGCACTGAACTGGGCATCAGGAGACTATTGTCTCCTAAACCCAGGACTATAATTCCCTTGTGCTCGCACTCCTTCAGTCATTAAATGCACTGGGCTTGCCCTCACTTTGGCCTTTCTAGGACACTGCTTCACAACCTCTGTGTGTATCTGACTTCGGCATCTCCTTCCAGGTCAGCTCATTCACAAGAGCGGCTCCGAAGCCTGAATGAGTTGCACCTTGCATCTTGAGCATGCATTTCTCAGAATAATTATTAAGCTGTGTGATCGTTTCTGCTTCCAGGACACTGTCATCCATTATCTTGGCTGTGAGCTCCTTGGGTATGAGTACCTTGTACTGTTTACTTTTATATCCCTAGCACCAAGCAAGTGCCTGGCACATGGTTAGTGCCCTAAGTATTTGTAGAGTAAAGAACGTCAGCCTCTCTGTTACCTAGTTTCCTTATGTGTTAAATGAGGTTGGGTTTGTCGTTCGCTAGGGAGAGACTTTCAGTAATAAAATTTACTATTCTAGATTCTTCTACTGTTATGTTTTATCTCCCCATTTATCTTTTATAGTTACCAGGAGAAATGTGTGACACCTATATTAAAACGAAAACAATCTTACTACTCACACAAATTTAATTGCATTTTAAAGCATTTTTTGATATTGTTGCTTTTGTAATAAATATGGATAATCTTGGTTATAAGGGGGTTAAAACCATGCTCTAATAAATAAATAAAGTGCTTCATGTGACAAAACCAAACTTGTTATCCTGTCTCAAAAGCCTGCTCTCCTCTCCCCTTTTCCTTCCCTAAACTCCAGTTTCCAATTGCCAAGGCCGGAAGCTTCCAAGTCATTCTTGACCCATTCCCCACTGGCAGTCAGTATCTCGAGTCCCATCAGAATAGCTCTTAAAGCTCCTGTCTCTTCTCCACCCCCTCAGCCACCACCCAGCTCCGGGCTTTTAACATTGTGGGCCGTTATAGGATCTTCGCACCTTCTGTCCTTGCCCTGGTCTTTTTTTTTCTAGAAGCCATCCTGTGTTCATTCATTCACTCATTCACTTGGTCAGCCAATCACAAGCCAGTACTAAGCACCTGCTCCCTGCAGTACCCATGCAGGTTCCTGGAGTCCCAGAGGATTGTGAAGCCCAGCCATGCAGGTGTCTGGTCTGCACAGACAGGGAAGTTTCACAGCTGCATTCCAGGTGGCCTAGCCTGCTAACTAATGCCTTTGTGACTGTGTTTGCCCCACTTCCTGTCTCTCCAACCACAGAATGATCCTCTCCTCTCCTCTCCAAGCTGCACATCCCACGCTTAACCCTGGGACTTTGTCTTTGCCCTTTGCAGGCCACAACCCTATTCAGAGAGAGAAGGAAACTCCTTTTATTTTATGCAAGCCCATGCAAAATGGGTACCCTTTTGTTTTTCAGTTGGCCTGTTTGAGTTGTTAAGCCACTTCACAGAAAGGAGTAAAAAGTCCAGAAGGATTTGACATCTGGTGAGGACTGCTATCTGGATCTGATGGTGCCCTGCCTCTGTGGCTCTTTACTACTTACAAGTAAAGTGGAGACTCCATAGCATGGCGGACAGACCCCTTTTCATCAGGCTCCTGACTTTCCAGCCTCACTCCTTGGCACAGTTTCTTCTTTCTCTAAATGCCCAAAGGGCTTGAGAAGTAATGACTGGATCACCTCTCAGTGCTTACTCTGCAGTCTTAGGTGAAAACTTCCTAGTAGCCACCAGAGTCACAATGAAGAAGGTTATTAAACAAGGTATGGACTTGTACCTATTAATGAAGTGCAGCATCCCAGTGCCTCACTTGTCTGCAGAGGTGGTACCACTAATGGTGGACTGAGCCAGGCTGGGTACCACTTTCTGGATATCCTGCTTCATATGTCTCAGGGCCTTTATGCTGCATTGGAACAATTTATTTCCACCTCTCCCAAGGCAGCTTTGCCACTTCCAAATTGCCAGGATCCAGAGAAGTCTTAGGGTGTGTTCTACACACACCTGCCTTCAACTCTGTCAGCCCATCCCTATGATAGAGCCATCACTCTCTCTCTCTCTCATGGGCCACACAGAGTCAAGGAGGCCCGACCTTTCTGGCTTCAACGATATTCCTAAAATTGGGACAACGATATTCCTAAAATTGGGAATTGAAAATTCTTTAAATATTTAATGAAGGCCAAGAAATTTAGGTCGTTGGGATATTTTTCAATTAACTACTCATTATTTCCCACTGAGTTAAATTTGACATCATTTGAAAATGAAACACTCACCTCTTGCTGGGTTTCCTTTACTAGCTTCACATTCTCTATAGTCCCAAATACTCAGGAGGCTGAGCAGGGAGAATCGTCTGACCCCAGGAGGTGGAGATTGCAGTGAGCTAAGATCGCACCACTACACTCCAGCCTGGGCAACAGAGTGAGACCATGTCTCAAACAAACAAATAAAAACCTTCACTTTTTTATTTGTTTGTTTGTTTCAAGTCACTGTGCCTATATAGCCACCTGCAGTACATGGGTTGGTTTTGCATTTTTCCACTTATGTCGATCTCATCTTCCTCCATCCACAGAAAGCACCTGAAATGCAGAATGCCATCCTTGTCACTATTGTTGACTCAAAATAATTAAATTGAATGACAGAATGAGTCCCCTCAGCCAAAGACTTGTGAATAACTGATGATATTTGAAGGGTTTGTAGGTGAACATCTCTTTAAGAAACAAATTTTATTTATAGATATTCTGATATCAACAATCACCTCTTTTAGGAATGATGCTGGGATAATAAAGGAATAGAATATATTTTATTTGTTTTAAACCAGAATTATTAGCCCAAATATACATGTAGAAAAAGTATTGGGCCTATGATTTGTCATATAGTTTATTCAGGGAAAGTGATGCTTATCTTTATGATATGCTAATTTTAAAATTTATATTGTTTTCATTAGAGCAAAAATTAACACATATTTTTAATACTTATTTTATATTTAAAGTTGAAAAAGTAATGTAGCTCCAGCATTAAAGGAGTGGGCTATAGCTATCCTATAATTTAGAAATAATGTGCAGTGAATACAACATACACAGGATTTAAGTAATCTGAGTACATGTGTGTGTTGTGCTGTGGTTGCAGTTATATCATCTCCAATGGCATATTGCATATTCATTTTAACATACAATTGTTTAAATCACATACCTAAGTGTTCTTTTCCTCCATCAAGATAACTGATGGCAAAATAGGTACTCTTGTTCCTTAAACATCACTAGTATTATTACAATTTTTACTTGATCTCTATGGTTTTAATAAAGAAAATTATGAGAAAAATAAGAAATCAAGGCATTATTGGTTATTATGAGAAATGGTTTTTCAAGCCTAAAATACCTTATTTAGTAATGTTCCAGCCCTAGTTGATTAGTTTCTCAGTCTGCCTGGGAAAACAGCTGTTGGGAGATCACTGTTCTTAGTTTCCCAACCAGGAGGCACCAGCTTAACTGTTGAAAAGTCCCCAGTTAACCATATACACTAACTTGTTTAAGTAAAAGTGTAGTTTTGGGGATAGGCATGTGGGTATTGATAAATGTATTAAAGAAATTTAGGGTCTCTTGGTTTTCTTTTACTCCTGATGCCAGAAATGATATCTTTCTTGTGGGATTGTGGTATGTCTGTCCTATATAAGTACATCTTAGCAAAACGTAGTTGGGGATAATACAGTGAAATGTAGACTGCTCTGCCTTGAATGATCTTAGGACGTTTTAATAACCTTAAAGAAGACATTAGAATAATGGGAGTAGGCAAAATGACATCTCAAGCCCAGTACAAGTATATGCTTTTATGATGCTTCTTATAACTTAAACCTCCCTATACTTAACACCTTTCATAATTTCCTCCCAGTAAACACATGTTCCTATCACCATAACTCTTATCATGTAAAATGTAATTTATAGCACTGCAAAGACATTTAGATGGATTTTAAGACTTTGACCATCTTGGCATTGATGACATTACTTAGATCCATACATGTCCTATCCTTAATACCAACAAATATTATGACGATAACAATCCTATAATCTTATATAGGTCAAACTAACTATATCCCAAGCAGCAAAAAGAGGTGAAGAAGGAGGAGAAGGAGAAAAAAAAAGAAGAAAAAGAGAAGGAGGAAGAGGAGGAGAAAAGAGAAAGAAGACAAGAAGAAAGAGAAGGAGGAGGAGTGGAAAAAGAAAAAAAGAAGAATGTAGAGGAGGAGGAGAAAACATCACCATAAATTCTCAGTCCAAAGGGCTGTTGATGCATATTGACAAATAAACCTGAGAACAGCACAAGCCACACTGCAGCAGCACTTTAGAGATTTTTGGTTCAGATCCCTCCCCTTTAAGTTCCTCTAAATTACAGCATTTCCAGACTAAACATTCTTTCCTGAACCATGAACCGTTGGCTCGTCCTATCGGAAGTTTGGAATTATTTCCATGTCCATGCACCTCATAGTAGATGTTGCCTTTCAGTGAGGAAGGAAAGTAGACTTAAATAGGAAGCCTGCTGGTTCAGGGAATAATTTCTCTGCTTTTGTGGTTCCATACATTTAAAATGAGTTTTATTTTGTCTGCTCATAACAACTAAAACTCAGTATTATGATGTATTCAAGTGTGTAGATACTGAACTTCAAAGGACTTTTTCAATTTAACTTTCTATGGAAAGTATATTATTATGTAGGTAGTCCTTGGACAACAATGGGTTATCAAGTGATTTTGAA